AATATAGGATATTATTCTTCAGAATAGAGTACATTCATTGAATAAAAACTTTTATATTATGCATGCCCTCAGCAAGAATACATGAGTTCCAAAACAAAAGAGAATAAACATGAAGAGCTACACTTACCATCACTACTGGTGACATATCAAGGGACTTTGTGCTTTGAACTCTAGGGTTAGCATGCTGGCCCTGAAATGAGCTTTCTCCAGCCTAAGATTTTCTCTGTCTTATAGCTATTGGTACTTGGGCTGAAGAATTCATGGTTTAGACAGCTTCCCTGTGCACTATAATATACTTAAAAGCATCCTGAACTTCTTTTTTTTTCTTTATTATTTTTTTTTATTTTAATCACAGGTCATTCACTTGTATCCCAGCCATAGCCCCCTCCCTATTTCCCTCTCTATCCCACCCTCCCTCCCTCATCTCCTCCCTGCCTGCTTCCAAGTCCACTGATAGGGGAGGTCCTCCTCCCCTTCCATCTGACCCTAGCTTATCAGGTATCTTCAAGACTGACTGCAATGTCCTTATCTGTGGCCTCACAAGGATGCTCCTCCCTCGGGGGGTGGGGGGGTGGGGAGGGGAAGCTCAATGAGCCAGTCATTGAGTTCATGTCAGAAATAATCCTTGTCCCCCTTACTAGGGAACCCACATGGGTACTGACCTACCATGGGCTACATCCGAGCAGAGGTTCTAGGTTATATCCATGCATGGTCCTTGGTTGGAGAAACAGTCTCATAAAAGACCCCTGTGCCCTGATATATTTGGTCCTTGTGGGTCTCCTGTCCCCTCTAGATTACACTAACTCCCCCTTCTGTCATATGATTCCCTGCACTCTGCTGAAGGTTTGGTTATGGTCTCAGCATCAGCTTTGATACCTTGCTAGGTAAAGTCTTTCAGATGCCCTCTGTGGTAGGCTTCTGTCCTGTTACTTGTTTTCTCCTACTTCTAGTTTTGATCCCCTTTGTCTTTCTAGATGAGGATTGATCATCCTACCCCTGGTCCTCTTTCTTGTTTATCTTCTTTAGATATACAGATTTTAGTATGTTCACAATAGCTACAAATAACATAAAGTACCTTGGGGTGACTCTAACCAATCAGGTGAAAGACCTGTTTGGAAAAAAAAAAAAAAAAACACTTCAAGTCTCTGAAAAAAGAAATCGAAATCGAAGAAGACATCAGAAGATGGAAAGATCTCCCATGCTCATGAATCGGTAGGATTAACGTAGTGAAAATGGCCATTCTGCCAAAAGCAATCTACAGATTCAATGCAACTCCCATCAAAATACGAACACAATTCTTTACAGACCTTGAAAGAATAATTCTCAACTACATATGGAGAAACAACAACAAAAAAAAAAACCCCAGAATTTCCAAAACAATCCTGTACAATAACAGATCATCTGGAGGTATCTCCATCCCTGATCTCAAGCTGTACTACAGAGCAATAGTAATAAAAAAAAGGCACGGAATTGGCATAGAAACTGAACTTCTATCTACTAGGCAACACTCCCCAATCCTCCTAATTTGATGAGCAAAAATGTTTCCAGATATAAAGTCTGTAGATCAGTGATAGAATACTTACCTACCTTTTATGAATCCCTAGGTTCAAACCCCAGTATTGCCCCCCCCCAAAAAAAAATATGTCTCTAAAATAGTCCATATGTTCCTTGGAGAGCAATATTACCTTTCTAACCAATGGAACAAAGAACATATTCACACAAACTATAGATTGTGCCTACCACCTACACATTCTGATATCCTTGCATCCAGAGAGCTGAGGCAAGAAATGTCTCCATCATAACTTGCTCCGTTGACCATGATTTTCAGGAGGTGGTAGAAGTGATGTTGTTACACAGTGGAACATGGAGGGGTTTTCAGGAGATTAAGAAATACCTGAGCAGAAACAGCTGCAAGACTCTGTCAGAGATTTGGCTAGTATGACGACAACAAGCTGAAGTGGATAAACAATATTTATTATTTTCACAGATGGCATAAGCAAACACAGAATGTCAGATCCACACATCCTTAATCCCATAGGGTGATACCAAAGCATAGGTGTCAGGTGACAGATGACAAGACTCATAGGTTACTCTGCTATGGAGGAGCCTATTCTAGAATGCAACTAAATGGTGTTACACCTGTAGCTGTTTACTAAGAAAGCTAAGTTATGTAGTCCAATATCTCCCTGGAACAAGGGATGTAGATAAGAACCTGATTCATGGAACCCTCCCATAATAAAGAGAAGCCGGTTGAGAAATAGCCTATGAACAATTTTTTTTGGGGGGAGACAAGATCTTGTAATGTAGTCCAGGCTAACCTTATACTTTTGCTCTTCCTGCCTCAGCCTCCCAAGTGTTGGCATTATAATTGTGCACAACCACACCTATCTCTCCTATTGTTTCAGGCATTTGCTACATAACCCAGGCTGGCCTTGAACCCTGTAGCTCATGCCACCTCGTAAATTCTGACCATAAATGCATAGTTACTACAGTGATCTGTTGTTAAGAAGGACGTGATATGGACACGAAGGAAGAAATGATGAATGATGTCATCGACGATGCCATGGGTAATGAGGAAGATGAAGAGGAGAGTGATGCTGTTGCGTCCCAGGTACTTGATGAGCTCGGACTGAAACTAACAGAGAAGCTGTCAAACATTCCCTCCACTGGTAGCTCTCTCAGTGTGGCTGCTGGTGGAAAGAAAGCAGAAGCCTCAGCCTCAGCCAGCCCTGGCTGATGTTGATGCAGACCTGGAAGAGGGGCTCAAGAATCTTTGCAGGGACTGAAAAACTCCCCTCCTGAACTCTTCACCCTGGCCCCGCTGTAATAAAGAAATTCGAACACACACACACACACACACACACACACCACAAAGAAGGATATGATAATAGAGAATCAGGTATCTCAAGGGGAAAGACCAAGATCAAATCAGTGAGTATATGGGCCACTGAATCAGCCAATAGGGTAACTGAGAGTAAGGAGAGTTTTAATGAATTTTAGAGAAAGGAAAAGAAAACTGTATTATTCAGGGCTCTGTAAAGGAACAAACTGATAGAATGAATGAGATTTATTAGAGCGGCTTACGGGCTGTAGTCTAGGCAATCCAACAATTACTGTCTCCTGATGGAAAGGCCAAGAATCAGTAGTTGTCCACTCTGTGGAACTAGATGCCATAGTATTCTTAATCTGGGGTCAGAGAACTAGGAAACTCCTAGAGGCTTTAGTTTACAGTGGAATCTGGAAGAAGACTATACTACAGTAAAGGAATGCCTTAGCAACAGTATGGATTAACTTTCTAATGAGAGTGCAAGCAGGCAATAACTAAAAAGTTTCCTTCATCTATGTCCTTTTATGTGGACTGCCACAACAAAGTGTGACAAATTTAGGGTGGGGTTTTCTATCTCAAATATTCTCGATTTAGGGTGTGTCTTCTCAGCTGAAGTGATCCAATCAATCTTCCCTCACAGGTACCCTCAAGTACTTAGATTTTAGTTGATTCTAGATGCAATCCAGTTGACAACCATGATTAGCCAACACAAGAACTATTTCTTTCAATTTTGGTTTGCAGTTCTGGGAAAAGAGCCTATGGCCTCACGCGTGGAAGATCAGTGTTCTAACATTGAGCTACATGTCCAGCCATCAATAATTAGTTTTGATACAATGTTATCTTTCCTCTTCTAAGTTTTTCCTCATAGAGAAAGCCCCTCAGGAGTCCTGTAAACAAACCTCCCAGATAATCAAAATAAAATGTACCCAAGATAGATAGATAGTATGTGCTTTTCTAGTTTTATTTTTTTATTTGCATGTGTGAGAGTGTGTATGTGAGATAGGGTGTGTGCATATGTGTGTGAGAATGTGTTTGTGAGTGTGCATGTGTGTCTTGTGTGGATGAGAGAAAGAGAGGGGAGGAGAGAGTCTTGTGTGAGAAAAATGAGAGAGATTGTGGGGGGAGACAGAGAGAAAGAGAAACCGTGGGGAGGCTTGGTGGAAAAGCATCTCTGTGTGCAAAGCCATCCTACTCTGTTTTACAAATGAGCATTCTTGTGGAAATAAATTTGCATACTTGTAGTTGCTCAGGTTATGTTTCCATCATAGTAAAAATCTCACATAAGTCATGTGTGGTAGCTAATATCTGGAATCCTAGCACTCAGGAGACTGAAGCACATAATTGTCATGCTAACCTGGACTATATAGTGAGTTCTAGACCAGCCTGGGCTACAGAATGAGACTTTATTTCAAAAAATGTTTACAAATACATAAAACTTGCCAACCTTATCCATTTTAAATACATATTTCAGTGGGTATAGTGTATTGACATTGTGAAACACAGCTCTGGAACTTTTAAAAATATGTTTTTAATTAAAATATAATTATATCATTTCTCCTTCCCTTTTCTTCCTCCAGCCCCATGTCATTGTCTTCCAATGTGTCCCCTCCCTTCAGCCCCTCTCAAATTGATGGTCTTTTTGCTTTCATTTGAATCTTGCTAATTTGAAATTCTATATGCATTTACAACTCCTCCTCTTCCCAAACTCTGGTATCAACCTCAAAATTAGTGCTTTGACTACTTGGATATCCTATGTAAATGGAATAATATACCATTTGCTTTTTGTGGCAGGCTTATTTTATTTATCATTATATCCTCAGAGTTTATCCATGTTAGAGCATATGTCAGTATTTCCATGGGTGTGTATGTGTATGTGTGTATATACATGCTCATATG